CCCCAAAACCCCAAAACCCCAAAACCCCGTTTTTTGGTAAATTTTTTGACAAATTATACTTTATATTTGATGATGCCCCAATTAGGCTCAAATAGAGAGCAGAGATTGCAACAAGCGAGAAATAAGATTGCTTCTTTGAATAAATCTGTTAATCAACCATACAATCAAACTGTAGAGCCTGTTTTAGGAAGGAATCTACCAAGTGATCAGTTCATGAAGCATAAATTAGCTCCAGTAATGACCAATTCGTATACCAATCAAAGACGAACTAGAAATAAAAATACAGGTGTTAACCTGAGCATGGACTTAAAATCAATGAACCACAACCCAATAAAGAATCTTAGTCTTCCGATGAATACTTCTAAAATCTCAGAAAAAAATATCTCTCCTTGTCCTTATGCAGGAAATAAGCCTATATCAACAATGACTCCATTGAAGAATGGCAATAAGTCTCGAAATCATGGAAAATCTTCAGCTACAATGGCTATTCCAAAGAATGTGAGGCCGCTCCCCATCCACAATAAACAAGATGTCTTCGATGAATGGGGTGCAGTCCTTCGTCACCAAGACGAAATCGATCAAAAGCTCCAACAGCAACAATTTGAAAAGATGAAACTGAGGCAAGTAAACTACAAATAAAGAGCTTGATAAACAATCCAAAGAGTTCCAAGACCGTAAGAAAGGTGCCTTGGGCGATAAACTCAAGAGAGAAGAAGAGCTCCGAAAATACCAGGAACGTATCCAAGAACAAAAAGTCAAGAATGAACAAGCTATGAGAGAACGGCTCCTTAACAATCAGAAATCAGCTGCATTAGCAAGCCTTTCAGAGCTTGAATCCAGGAAGAAACAGGACTTGTTAATGAAAAATATGGAAATTAACCGTCAAAGAGATCAGATGAAGATAGAACATGAGAGAGAACAAGCACTGAAAAGAGAAAAAATAGCCCAAAAGAAGAAAGAAGAGACTAACTACCACCATATCCTAGCTGAACAGGAGCGTGAGAAGAAGCAAAAACAATTGCAAGATAAAGAAGCTGATAAACACTTCCTTGCTGATGAGACTAACCGTCTCGAAAAAGACGATGCTGAAAGAAGTAAATTCTTCAAAAAGCTGAAAGATATCCAAGTAAAGAATGATGAGAAGCAGAAAAGCCTTCTAAAGTACATGCAGCAGGACAAAGCCTCTCTGAACGCAGCACAGGATGAAAAGAATTATATAAAGAGCATCCAAATTGGCGACAAAAAGGCTTTACACAAGGAACTTACAGAGAAACTAACTAAAGACAAGAATATTAAATAATAACTTTCAGGTCCTATCAATGCAGCTAAAGGAAAAGGAGATGGCTAAGAAAGCTGAAAGGGAACAACAGAATTTATACAAGCAGCAATTCGAACAAGAGGTTACTCAAATTCAGCGTGAAGAAACTGATGCAAGGAACAAACAAAAAATCCGTCAGCAAGAGTACAATAAAGCGCTGAATAATCAACTGAAGGAGAAGAACAAGAAGAGCAAGTATGCAGTTTTAATGTCAGAGTATGAACGAAGTGTCAATAATAATGATATAAGTGCATATCAAAACATGGATCTAGGGACTCTCAGTGCTAAATTACCAGGATTCTCCTCGCATAGTTCACAAGATAAGTATATTGATAAGAGCTTGAACTCCGATACCAAAGAAACTACTGTCAATGGGTAAGCCAAGAATCTGCCATAAATAAGTAGCATACAACCTTGGTTCTCATCCACAGTCTAATTTTTGTGTTTAGGAGATACAATGACTGCATATGTCCTCCAGAAAAACAGAATTCTAGGAATATACAAGATAAAATAAGACTAAGGAACAACACCAAACTCAAAGATGCAGCCCTGAGATCATTCGAGAATTTTGGTGATGGGAAAGGAATCCAAATCTCTGATAATTCCCCTAATAGGAATAGGTTGGAAAGAGTCAGAGACAATATGGAAAAGCAAGATGCTATGAAATATAGAGCAAATACTAATAATAGAGGATATGGATTCGAACAAATTCTGGCCAAGAACCCTCCAACAACCAGAGAAAATGAACATATGTTGGCTTCAAAATCAGCTCCGAAATTTGAGAAGGCAAAGAACTTATACGAGTATAATTTCAAAGCTCCAGGGAATTATTAAACAATGATAAGTTACCTCTTTTTAACCAAATTTTTCAATATTTTCCTTAAATGTAGGGGTTTTGGGGTTTTGGGGTTTTGGGGTTTTGGGG